AGCATCCAGGATTGCCGAGGTGCTGATCTCAGCTCTGCTCCACACCTATTGCACAGCATTAGATAAATTACTTTACCTTCTTGTGTCTCACTTATCCCATTGGTAAAATGGGGATAACACTGGTGACAGGATGGAACTACAGTAAATTATAGGCACGCCATGAGGAGCCTGTAATTAGTGTTCATAAGTCCCTTTGAAAATGGAAAATACTGTAGGCCCAATTCTTCTGCATGTTATACTGAATCTAAGGACAACGGACAAAGGACTTACAGCCCTGTTAAACACAGGGTAACATAATGCAGAATCAGGCCTAGATAAGGGTGAAGCATTACCATATTTACCGGAGTACAAGATGACCCTGAATTTGATGACCCCCCTTAATAATTAGATTATATACAAAGATAATTTATAAGTTTATAATTTTCCATGTATAGAATCTCATTATTGGAGGATCATCTTATATTCATCCTCCTGACCATTGCAGGCAATGCGGAGAGAGGTGACAAAGGAGGTAGTAATGGAGCAAGCAGTGGGGGGACAGACAGTGGGGGAGGCAGTAGACAACACGAGGGGACAGCAATAGGGCAGCAGTAGGGGAGACAGTCAGCTTGCCCCCTTGTACCCATTCCTACCCCCACTTACCCCTTACTGTGCTTGCCCTGTACAGCCGCAGGCCCCATTCTCCCTTCCTCCATCCCCCTCTCTTCCCCCCTCCATGTTACTTCTGCCCCCAGCAGCCTCAGGTCCCTGCCCTCACTTCCTCTCATATCCCTCCCCCCACCAAAGTCTCTCCCTACGGCCTGCCCCTCCACTCCCCCTTGCCTTTGCTCTGGTGCTGGCAGGTTCCATCCCTGCTGCAGCCTGGGGGCAATGAGCATAGCTCCAGCCCAGTCCCACAGCAGCAGCATGGAGCTCACACCACTGCTATAGGGCTGAACTGGAGCTGTGCTCTGTGCTCCATGCTTCAGACTGCAGCGAGGATGAAGCCTGCTGGCATGGAGCAGAAGTAAGGGAGAGTATGGCAGGGGGGAAGAGGGGGCGGGGGGAGAAGTGGCACAAGGGAGATACAGGGGCAACAGGGACTTGAGGTTGCAAGGTAGGAGTGATGAGGAATACAGGGGGGGGGGGCAGCAGGCAGCACCTGCAGCTCCAGGTCCAACCCAGGATTGGGGCCAGAGCTGCAGCAGTTGCCTGGCCCCTGCTGGCTTGTATAGGTTCTAAGAGGAGGGGCTTTTCCCTCATGTTAAAGGGGGGGGACCTCATCTTTTAATCGAATCAATACGGTATTAATTAATATAAAGTATTAACAACATTCAGTTCTTAAACCTCATGCAACATGTTACTGCTTCAAGGGAAGCTATTTACAAACTGGGGAGATTCATTATCAAACACCTTTGGTAATTACCCTTTTAATATCCTCAGCACAGATGGGAGAGAATCCACTCTTTACCTCATGCAGCCTATTCAGATCTGGCCCTGGAAAGGGAAGAGAAAAGTTTGATTTTGTACAGTCTATCCTGCCTCTGGGGCCAGTTAGGACCTTGGGAAGATGCATGGAACTCCCAGTGATGTCCTCTCAGGTCAGGCAGGAAGATCCAGGACAATGCATGACACATCACACGTGAATGAAGACAGTTCCCCGAGTAAAATCTGGGTAGAAACCTTGAGCTTTGACTCTAAGGCATCATATTAAGGTCAAGATACTAACTACAGATGGGATTCACCTATACACTCTGGCTGCACTTATACACTTATGCTGCTCCAACAATTACGGCAGTTTTGTCATCGCTCTGCAAGCAGCCAACAAGTAAGCGAGCTCATGAATCTGCTCCCCCCGCATCTGAAGAGCTAGTGTCATGGCTCCCTCTGGGCTTCTGCGAAAATATATTCTGAAGCTGTAGAATCTGGCAGGGACCAACCAGCTGAAGAAGAGCCAGAACCACAGGTAGCAGATATTAATGACATTGCTTAATGCACCCTAGGAAGATACTCAGAACCCAAAGGGACAAGGAAGGTGAAAAAAATATTTCCACAGACTAGAACAGTACGGCTGTGCAAAGCTTCGGGCCCTGATTCGATTCAGCAGAGATTCGACCTGATTCGGTGACCAAATCTCTGAATCTAAATCAAATCAGAGGAGCCTTTAATCCCTCCGAATTGAATCTGAACCCTCCGAATTGGTTGAGAGAGATTTGGAAAGATTTGGAGATTCGGACATAGAGACAGCTTTAAATGTTTTTTCTACATACCTCTAGGTAGCAGGGGCTCGTGAATGCTGCGATGCTGGGACACATGGAGTGTCCCACAGAAGCGCAGGGGGCTCCCCAGCACAGTTGGCAGCAGACCCAGAAGTGGACCAGAAGCACCCCCGGCTCGGTGACTGGTGCCTCCTATGTATGTCGGGGGGGGGCACCCAGGGTCCCCCTGCAGCCCATTGCCAAGCTGGGGAGGCACGGGTGGGGAGGCACACTCCCCCGCAGACTTGGAAGTGGACCAATAGTTCTTCCGGTCCACTTCTGGGTTCTTTGCCAAGCACATGGAGGGCCCCTCGCGCTCCTGTGGGATGCTCCATCTGCCTCAGCATCGCAGCATTCACGAGCCATGCCTGCTACCTCGAGGCATGTAGAAAAAACATTTAAAGCTGTTTCTATGTCCAAATCACTGATTCGCTGAATCAGCATCGAATCTTCAGATTCAGATTTGGCCAAATCGAATCAGGGACAGTGATCCAAATCAACAAATCAAATCACTGTCCCTGATTCAGGCCAAATCTGAGTTGAATAGGACCTGCTTTGCACACCTCTATAGAACAATGCTAGGAATCTGATAACTGTTTACTAGTCTGTGTAAAAGGGATCATCTCAGTCGAGTTCCTACAGGCAAATATCTGCCTCAGGTTCACATCCTTTCTAACTGTTGCTGCAGCGGTGCCTACCCACCCACCTGCCTGGTGCACCACGCCACTTTCCCTCCCTACCAGACTGTGCCCCATGCCCCTGCGATTCCAGGACTCTCATTTTAATTTTCACCAACTGTCCAGGACCAACCTTTGAAACCCATCTCAGCCAAACCAAGATGTATGGTCACCCTACTTCTAGGACCCGATGGAGCACATTGGTGGCATGGTATATGTGGGGAAAAATGAGCCAGCCCCTGCCTATGGCAGTTTTTGCCAGATGATTAATTAAGGGACCCATCCCTCTGGCACATTTGATCAGCAAACAGACCACTAATATTTTAAAGAAATTAAATGGAAACATTACTAAAATATCAGTTTGATCATTAATCATCATCTTCAAGACATTCTATAGACACTAACTAACTAGCTCCTGTCCTCATCTCACCACACTGTTCAAAACATGATTAATGTAGTAGTACTACACTTGATGTCTGAATGACCTGCTTTACTGTGTCTTGTGAAGAACCTGAGCAGGGCATACAGAACATTACTGGTATTGGTAGTGGATCACTTGTACAGTGGTGCTTCTCAAATTTCACTCTTGTCTGGTCTCAGGGGGAAAGGACAAGTATTTTCAGATCAGTATCTACACTTACACAATAAGCTCTTTGGGGCAGGGACCATCTTTTTGTGCTGTGCGCAGCACCTAGCACAAAAGGCTTCTAGTTACGTGACTGAGACTCCTGGGTGCTACCACAATACAGATTTCCTAAAAATGTATTAAACCCCCTTGCAGTTGTACCTTGGCACATAGGTTAACTAATGAAGCTGTTCTACATACCCAAGGAGCTCTTGTAGTTTTCCAGATGCTCTAACAATACGTCCATGGACATGCGCTCTATGTCAAGATGAAGCAAGTTAGCTGCTATTACTTCCCATAGCTTCAGTGGTATGGAATCTGGTCTTTGAGCTTGGTGTCCTTTGCAGATCTAAGGGAAACATGAACAAAAGGAACGTGCCATTTATTATTGCAATGAAACCTGATTTTACACAATAAAAAAACCCTCAGAACAATGCAGATCATTTATAACAAAGTTATGAGATTTAAAAATAGGTCAGAAAGCTGATCTGGCAGGAATTAAGGAAAGAAGGGTAAACTATAGTATAATGTAACCATAGGCTAAGTTCTGGTCTTAGTTAAGTTGGCATAAAACCGAAATAAAAATTGCCATCAGATTTAGTAGTGCAGAACTGGAACGCCCCTAAATTTCTCCTGCATGGGGAATGCGATAGGATACTCTGCATCTCGCTAGTTACCCAAAACCATTGTGCAGCATTACTAGGTATTGTTAAACAGCTGATATGATTGATGCCAAGGTGAGATTTTCATTGACAACTTCACAGAATATTTCTTAGTGAACTGACCTATTATTATAACCTATTGCTTGTACTTTAACTCTCCTAACATTCTAAACAATCTCCTCATATTGTTGTTTTGGCATTTCCAGTAAAACAGTGGTTATAAACCAGGGGTACACATACCCCTAGGGGTACTTAAAACGGTCATAGGGGGCATGCAGAACACTGCATGTGTGCGCGCATCCGCAGCACAGCATGTGGGCAGCCAGGACGCAGCTCAGCCAAGTGGAGAACAGCTGGGTCCAGTGGGTAAGTTTGTTGTGGGGGAAGGACTGCCCAGTAGGGGCAGGGTGCAGGACTGAGCCACGCAGAGGGATGGCTCCCACCACTACATGCACCCTGGGAGAACATAGGGGGCATGTGCCCCCAGATCTGCACTTGGGATGAGGTGGGCTGGGGTCATGGCTGGGCCGTGCTGCACTCAGGGTGCATGGTGGCAGTGCTGAGAGAGGGGTTGGAGGGGTTACTGCAAGTTTTGGGGTGGCTGCAGTCCCACCCCCCCATAGCCCTCTTCCCAGTGTCACCACCGCCTGCCTCCTGAGCACAGCCCAGCCCAGCCCCACCCTCTCGGCACCGAAAAGAGCCCGGCACAGCCTTGGCCCCAGCCCGCCCATGACCTGCACACAGACCTGGGGGCACATGCCCCCCATGTGCCCAGAAGGGGTACACTAGTTAAAAAAGGTTGAAAACCACTGCAGTAGAATATTGATGTGATGCTATGTAACACCGACATATCCAGTATTACTCCCTGCCCAAGGTATTGCTGATACTCAAATAATTGTCCTATTTTTCTACCCAGTAATATGGATTGTGCCAGTGGTGCTGCAGATTGAGAATTTCAATTACTGTTTATTCTTCTGCAAGTGCTGCAAAAAACTTCCTATATTTACTTAAATATGCATAAAGTCAATGTATCCCTTCTCATATTGCAAAGGTGGGTAATTATTTGAGCCCAGAGGCCACATAGGGAGTTTTGATGAGTTGTTAGAGGTGGAGTCAGCACCCCCTCCACCCCACACCAATTCATCAAAACCCCCTATGTGGGATGGGACTGCAGGCAGGCAGGAAGCAGTATTTGGAAGGAGGACAGGTGGCCAAAGATGGGATCACGAGGTGGGGTCACAGGGCAGTGACAGTGCAGGGCCAGGGCCTGGGGCAGAGCCATGATCCGCTGGTCATGTGCCCCTGCAACAGGTATAGATTCTGCAGGCAGAGGTCCGCAGTGAGTGGATTGTGGCTCTGCCCTACCCCTGGCCCCAGCCCTGTGCTGTAAACCCCACCCCCCACCCCTGAGATCCTGGCTGGAGGCAGCTTCCTGCTCAGCCGCATGCTCTGCTTGCATGACCTCAGCTTGTCGCCATGGGGACCTCTGGATCATGGGGTGGGGATCAGCATGGAGCCAGGGCTAGGGCCAGGGCAGAGCTGCAGGTCTGTGGGCAGGGGTGTGAGGGGTCGGGGCTTGGGTCAGAGATGCAATCTGTGATCTACTCCCTGCATGCCCCTGCCCTGTGCAGGGATGTGGGAGTTGTGGTGTGTGTTGGATTGTGGGGGTCATGTGTACATGTGTTGGGGGGTGCCCCCTGGGCACTAGGTCCCAGGAGCTAGTCAGGGTGAAGAGAGGAAGGAGGGGGCAGGGGGCATATGCAGCAGAGCTCACACAGGTGGTGCAGTACCCCACAGCATTCTGCATGGGGCCAACAAGCCCTGTCCACTCTGGACCAGGTCAGTCTGCACCCACTAGCCCAGCCCCAGCTAGCACACACAGCTTACTGGTGAGGCTGTTCGCAGTGCAACTCCAACCACCCAGGTGCTGTTCAGCTTTCCTCGCTTCCAGCAGTGTATCCTCCCTCCTGCTCTTGCCCCTGCTGCACCACTGGGGTGGGGGGAAAGCTTCAGTTGGGCAGCTCCTGGCCCAGCATGTGGGGCTGTGGCTCCAGCTACTGGCTGTCTTGCACCCACTTAGCTGTCCTCAGGTGGCTGCTCATTGCACCAGGTAGACTGAGTGGGTGGAAGACAACTGGGAGCTGGAGCCAGAGCCCCGCAAGCTGGGGCAGGCGTCACCCAGCTGAAGCTAACTCCTCAGCCAGAGCAGCACAACAGGGACAGAAGCAGGAGGAGGAGCCACTGCTGGAGGCAAGGGGAGCTGAGCAGCACCCAGATGGTTGCAGCCACACTGGGAGCAGCTCTGCCAGTAAGCTGTGCGCGCTGACCAGAACTAGGGTAGGTGGGCGCAGGCAGAAACACAGCACTGGCTGGCCTGGGCAGGGCTAAGCCTCATGCAGAGCACCGTGGGGGCAGCCACGGGCTGAATCCAATCAATTGGTGGGCAAGCCCACAGTCCAGATCCAACCCACAGGCCATATTTTGCCCACCCCTGTCATACTGGTAACTTGCTCTACTTTCTTGAGGCATTTATGCCCTACTAGAATATTGCCAGTCTTAGAGCTCCTCCAAATTCTAGGCCCATGTTTTGACATAGTGCCTCCAGGCCATATATTTGGGCAGCTAAGTACAGAGGTGCCTTGGCAAACTGTACTTCCAAATGCTCTTCCACAGTGAGATTTGGATAGTCTATCAAGGTGCCTATATTAGAAGATTAAGCTCAATTCAGATTTAAGCTATTCAGATCTTTCCAGGCTGTCTTCTCTCCAGGCTGTCAGAATTCCCATAAAGCTCAACTTTGGCATTAAGAACTTTCCCTTGGTTGGATGGAAGATATGCTATGTGTTCTGCTCCCTCTCTCAAGACATTTACCTCATCTATGAATTTGGAAACAGGCAGGTGGCTGAGCTCAAAGTAGGTTTGTGCCCCATAAAGGAGAACTGAATAAAACGTAGCAGCTACCATCCATGTATCAGAGAAGGTGGAGAAGACGTGACGTGTCAAGGACTCAGGAGCACTGAAATACACAGACAGAGGTTCTTCGCTATCTCCTGTGTCAAGAGATAGAAACAAATTAAGAACAAAGCCAATGGGTAAATCCTCTTTCTTACAGTTTTGCCCAGTTAACTATTGTGAGCTTTGCCCACTTCACTCAGCACCAGTCAGAACTTCATCCTGCTCAATACAGAGACTAGGGAATGGACCTGTATAAACCCAAAGTAGGAAGTAAGGAGCAGTCCAGGACACTGCCCTGTTACACAGACACAAGTTGCTGTGACCTAGTAGTGAGAAGGCAGCCAAAGAGAGTAGAATATGACTAAGTTAGCTGTGCTCCTTTATTATAATGCATAAAAGAGTGAAAGATCAAAAGTCTTAGCCCAAGGTATAAAACAATGGAAGTGTGATGTTATGCTTCCAAAGTCAAAGTCTAGGACTGTAAACAAGTAGCTTGAATTTCAAAAGTGGAGTCACAGGGGGCTGCAATTTGGGCTTAGCACTTTTGAAAATCAAGTTACTTTAAGGGTCTAACTTTAAGTTTTGCTTTCTAAAATCACAGCCTCAATAAAATCAGGTATAAGAGTTTGAAAAACATATGAAAGGATTCATTTTTTTTCTGAGCTATACAGAAGGTCCAAATTCCACTTGGTTCAAGTTATGAGACATATTGTGGGTTGGTTCTGTATAGTGCATATCATACACTGATGAAACACATGCCCATGTCACCTGATATACTTGTACACATTACTTTCCTCAGTATGTTTGTCCCAGTTTGTCCATAACAACTAGACTGATGCTGTTTACAATTTGGATTATCATATATTTTTGATTAATCACATATCAAACCCTGAACTGTAAAGATAAATCTGCACACAATGAAGTCTCAGATTGCCAACACAACTACTACAGTTTTGTAACCTCTGGGACTGATTATTTTGGCTGAACTCATTTCCTTTTATAGAACTCTTGGTTCACATTAGCTACAGCAGTTTCTATTGTTGTTTAGTATTATGTGCCAGTTAACCACACCTGTTGGCCAGTTACAGAGTGAAAAAAACAGCAAACATGCCTGATAACAGCTTGAAACTGAAACCAGCAACAAGAAAGTAAAAAAGTTTTAAAATCAAATAATTCAATTATTTTATCCATCACAACTAGTCAACAGTAGAGTTAAGAGCATAACCCATGTCTCCTAGACTCCTGACCCTGTGCTCAGTCAACTAAACTATAGGCACACCAGCCATAACTAATCATACCTGTGAGCTGCCAGGGCTTAAAGGTTTCATATGGACAATCATCTCTGTAATCTCCGTCTTCTTCCTCAGGAGTCATCTTCACACTGAAGAAATTTGACAGCTTTGTCTGGATTTGAAGAGATCCACCTTCACCTCCCTTTTCCGTGAACACAACGAAACTGGCTGGAGTTATGTCACAAAGTAGGACCCTTCTCTGGTGGCAAGACCAGACAGCTGTGGCAATGTCTTTCAATATTCCTACCATACTGGACAGTGTGAGCCCATTCCTCTCCTCCTGCAGGAAAGTCAAAAGAGGTTTCCCGTCTTCCAACATATAAAATGGAGGCACACTGCAGGAACTGAACTTTTTCAGGCTGGCAATGGAATTGCTGACTTGACACAGCTTCACTATTCTGATCACCTCTTGAAATCTTTCATTGCCACTCTCAGTAGAGTTAGTCTGCAGGATGTCATTCAGAGTCTGCTGTTTAGCCATGCAGATCAGTACATTTCCAGTAGATACAGTTCCTTGGGCTATCATGCAACTGGAATGGGCTTGCAGTTGTCCCCTGATGATTAGATCTGGGAAGATAACCTTCAGATATTCTTGGACAGCTGGTTCCATGAGTTTGGGACTGGCTGGGATCAGGTTGTTTCCCAGCTCTGTAATGTTGACATAGGTACCACCTTCACTGAAAAGCAGAGGTGCAATGCAATTTCTAACCTCACTTAATGGATGATAAATCAGTTTTTGGAAGCAATGATTTAGGATTGTCATCATCCAACATTTCTTTCCTTTGGTGTCAGCACTCACACACCATTCCCACAGGCTTATGAGACATTTCAGACATTCCGTTACTGATCCTAGGATAGAACAGCGAGATGTCAGTAGTGCCTCATCCCTAAGTAACTCATATTACTACAGAAACTTCCAGAACATTTGCAGACATTACTTAAGTACACACTGGAATGGACACAACAGCTATGTTCAAAAGAGCACAGCAATGTTACCTGGCAGTTTGAGACAGGAGGAGAAAATATAGTATATCCCATTGAAAATGCAAGGATATTTTAAACAGACAGAATGTTAGCTACCCATTTATGCCATTGATTTGATCATCAGAACACATGCATTCTTGCAAAAAGGGCCAGGGCAGCTTTAATGGTCATAAGTGACAAGAGGCTGCATTTTATGTCTCTTCCTAAAGGCCACATTTCCATGAATATGGCATCTTAGCACTGTGCTGCAGTACTAACACAATACTAAGACAGAACACAACCCCAAGTATGCAACTGGCTTTCAAAAGATAGATTAGAAAATTCAGCAATCTATGAGAAAAGCCACTTGTTTGAGCCAGACAGAAAGAAAGAAAAGAAGGATAAAGACAATTGCATGTATTGTACCTGGAGTATGGCTCTCTTGGATATGTTCAGTAACACGTTCAACTATTTCCAGGGAAATCTCCCAGTGCTTTTTCCCCATCTTTGTGCAGACATTAAAGAGGAACAAATGGCCAATCTCAAGAAGCTTTTCTTCAAAAACCTGGAAAATGTTGAAAAGAAATATAGGATGTTTCTACACGTTATTTACATGCACCTAAACTTAATGCACATTTGCCTAATGCTCATTAAGGCAATTCAGGTGAATGTCTACATGTATACATGCTAAGGCACATTAATGCAGTGTGTGGACCGACTTGGGACTAAAGTTAGTCCCAAGTCAGTCAACCTACACAGTGTTAATGCGCCTTAACACGTTTACACATGCATTAAGGAACTTTAGCTATTTGTGCATAAATTTGATACCTGCTTTTGTAGGTATCAAATTTAGGCATGAATAGCCTAAAATTGCCATTTTTAATGTGCATTAAGGATGTCCATGTGTAGACCCATGCCTTTAATGTGCCTTAAAAATGGCTAACGGACCTTAAACCAGCATGTGTAGATGCACCCATATATATGAACACTTCCCCGGGGGGGTGTTGGGTTGCTTTTAGCCACCAAGTGACACTAGTTGCACATTATTTTAAACAGGTGCATGAACATCTTACTCTCCAAGTCATAGCCACCTCCAAGGGTGTATCTGATGGGGTGCAGTTGTATAGTCATACTCCCCTTTAGCTGTGTGCCATATGCGCAGTGAGTTCTGAGCTCATTGGCATGTCAGCACAGCTGCTACCAGAGCTTGGCATGTGCCATAAGCTCAGTTCACCAGCTGGTCAGCATGGGGTCTGGCTAGGATTCCCTGCCTTCACACAGCTCTGGAGCCCAGGGGTTGAGTGCCACTGCTGTTTGTCCTTCCCCTCCCTTCCTCCATCCATGGGGTTGCCAACTCTCTTTGAATCTATTCTGGGAGGTTTCCAGAACATCAATGTACCCATGATGCACAACACATACATGCCTGCATGCTTGCATCTATTAGTTATGGATTACAGGGTGTATAATTTACATCAGGAAGACAAATGCACATTACTATTACATTTTAAAAACCCACTGGACTACTGTATAAATCAGATTCAATATTTACTATTTATTTTAATGAATGTTCTAGGCTTCCCCTGGGGGCATCATAGGAATGAAAAAGCTCTTTGTTGCAAAACCACAAGTAAGTCCTAAAAATAATATGAAACAGGGGTTGGAATCTGGCCGCCTTTGAAATGGGTAAAAAGAGGAAACGACACAGGATATTTTCACAGAGTTCTTAGATTTCATAGACGTTAGGGCTGGAAGGGTCCTCGCGAGATCATCAGGTCCAGCCCCCTGCCCAAGAGGCAGGAAGTGACATGTCTGAGGTTTCATTGCAATGCAGCCTGCAGTCCTAATACCCCAACCCCTTTGTGATCCAGACACATTTCTTCCCTTGGCTCTAGTACTTGCCAGTCCCAAGATCACAGGATCAAACCAAGGGCGATGGAACCTCTGTAACAAGCCAGTGGTTATGAACAGAACACACACTGGACTGTGATCACTTTGTTACTCACCTTCTCAGTGATAACCAGGATGAAAATGTGTCTTACTACCCAGGGGATCCTCTGCAGCTGTTTCTGGATGCAATTGAACTGCAGAACTCTCTCATTTGTGAAAGACACTCTCTGCTCCAGTATCCGCAGGAAGTGTTTCAGGTGCTTCACATACATCGCCATGAAATTTGGCCAGGCTTTGGGTTTCTTAGCCGCAGTGCAGATTGCAGTATTGATTTTCTTGTAGGCATTACGGCAGAGATGCTCATAATTTCTCTCCTTTGAGGGGATGTTTTGTTTTGTAAAAGTCAGAGCCCGCAGCTTAGCCCTCAGCCTCACATTGTACACCATGGAGACGTTAATGAAAATCAGAGCCAGGGTCCAACAGTAGAGCTTCTCCAGCTGAAGGCAAGGCTCCAGGTGAGAGCCGAGTCTGTTGTTTTGGAGAAGCATTCCTACTGTCTGCTCAAAGTCCTCCAAGTCTGCCATCCCAGAGAAAGTCAAAATGTTTTTCCTCATGGTCCTGATCAGTGCTTGGCAGACATGTGCTCTGACCCCTTCTCTAGCATCTTCACAGTAGTTTAGCAAACAACCCACTTGATCACGAAATGGCAAACAGGTCACATCTTTCAAGATGTCTTTGATTTCTGAAGGAGAGAGGGGGCTGATATCAGCTGGGCTTGAAACAGGACCCATGGGAGTGAAAAGGTCTAGGTATCAACATTCTGGGGATGATTGTATTCATAATGGCATCAGAATGTGCAGAGAGGTGGAGAAATTACATAGCTATCACTTTGTAAACACAAGCTACATTTCCTTTTTCCCCATCTCTTCACTGGTGATTTCTGTTTCTTTCTTCTCACCTCTTGCTTTCACCCATCATTCCCTCTCCTCACCCTGTGACATTTCTCCATCCTCCAATTCCCATCCCTTTCCTCATTCTCCCTGATATTTCCATTCTCATCCATTCCCCTCTTGGTCTCTGCTCCTTCCTTCCTTCTACAGGGGGCAACCATCCCATTCAACTCCGCATCTCCCTACCTGCACAGTCATGATCCTACTTGTTGTCAGGCTACACCTGCCAACAAAACTTTCTGTCAGTATGTACTCAGTGCAGGGGCCACACTCAATATTTTAAAGGACAGAATTGATCATTTATTAAAACAGAACCTGATTAAAGTTCCAGTGAAGCCTGTCATTGACCTCCAGAGGACCTGCATCAAAGTCCACAGTGCTGCTACAGGTACCTGCCTGATAAATCATGCTTCTGGACCACCTCATATAACTAATATTCTCCATGGAGACGCATCTATTTTAGAAGACAAGGAGCTGACATAGCTGCATGAACAAGAAAGAGTCCTCTTAATGGAATTTAAGAGCTGTCAGATACTACAATAACCAGTCTCTCCCTGTCCTGCTGAAAGTATTACCTCTGTGTGAGTGCGCCTTGTATCTCTGTGGCCAGGATAAGTAACTCTTCTGGTAACTGGTGCCCTGGCATTTCCCTGATGGCCTGAAGGATATCCTTGATCTAGCTGACCTTTCAAAAGGGGCTGTAAAGGAGACACATGCAAAGACACATTATTTGATATGAGAAATGTGCCTCTGCAATCCCAGAGATGCTTTGTAAGAAGCCCAAACAGCACATTGAAAAAACTTACATTCTCTGCCTATAAAAAGGGACGAGGATGAAGTAGACTCTGAAAAGAGAAGGCAAGAGCTAAATAAATGTTATAGAATTCTTCACCATGTAATTCAAAACAGAAATACTGAAAGGAAGACTTCATGGGCCCATATGCAGTTTACTATAGACTGGAATGTGTTTAGTATCAGTCTGTTCCTGCTCCCTCCAGTCTTGCACCAGCCCCCTGCAGCAGCCAGGGGGGAGCTTTAAGCTCCTGCTGGGTGCTAGCTCAGAGGATGCCAGGAGCTGGGAAATCGCTCCCTGCCACCAGGAGCTGCCTGCTGCAGGGTAGGCTCCAGGGCCCAGGCAGGGACATAGGCAATAGAAGTTGGGGCTAACGGGGCTTAGCCCCGCCAAATGCGGGACAGCAGCAGGGCAGCCCGGCCAAGGGCTTCTGGCAGCTGCAGCAGGGTTGGGAAGGGAGTGAGGCTGGGGCTGGGGCTAGGGGAGGGGTAAGCGCTGCACAGCTGGACATGGAACTGAGCCACAAGGAGCTCATCCAGGGGGAACGACTCCTGCTGCTACATCCCAGAGGCAGGCTGCCACTTTGGGCTGGGACTGGGGCCAGGTCTGTGCTAGGCTCTTCCTGGGGATGACTGAGCGGGGCAGGGCAGGTGCAGGGATCCTGGGGGCTCCGTCCCCTCCGTCCTGGCGGCACAGCTGAGGCTGGCCCCACTCCGGCCCCTGGCTCCAGGCCCCTCCAGGCAGTGTGGAGCCATGTCCAGTGTGGGGAGGCATCCGGGGACAATGCAGTGCTGGGGGCAGTGGATTCATTGGTACAGTGGGCACCGGTGCCAGGCAATGACCCCGGGTGCAGGGGAAGGGACAGATACAGTGGGCCCCAGCCCTGATCCCCTCCTCCCTTCCCCTATGGCCCTTTCCCCTCCCCCCACCACTGCCTCCTCCGACTTTCCTTCCTGCATGCTTAGCGTCCCCCAAAAAAAGTTTCTCCCTCCACCTATGGGCAGGGACAATGTCCCCCATCCCCATCAGCACCGAGCTCCTAGCCCCCATTCCCTGGGGGCAGGGAGCCTGGAAAGAGAGTGGCAGGGGAGGTGCAGGTCCCAGCCCCCTGCCCGAATCTGCTGGTGGGGCAGCTGGCAGTGGGCCCACAGCTGGACGGGGATTCCCCACCCAGCACGAGGCTCACTGCTACTTGCCCCACCAATAGATTGGAGGAGGGGGCTGGAACCTGCCCCTCTACCGCAGCTCTTTCCAAGTCCCATACCTCGATCGCCTGATGGGGCACAAAGCTAGGAAAAGTCTGTGGGGCTGGGACCTGCCCCTGACCAGGAACAGTCTCCCCAGGCCCAGCCCCCACTCCATGATGGTGATTGTAGAGTGGGGGCTGAGACTTCCCTGTTGTCGAGGCAGACGGACATTGTCCCCACTTGTGCCGTGGTGGTAGAGCCCACCCAAGCAGCAGGCAGCTTCCTGCTGCCCAGGTGCTCAGGAGCACGTTTGCTCCCAACTGGCTTTCTATACATGCTGTAGTGCACAGTAATTACTCAGGAGTTAATTTGCTACTTGCATTTGCAGGTAATAAATTAACTGCTGAGCAGAGGAAATTACTGTGTTTTAAGGGTCAGCACATGTAAATGGTGACACTTACTTCACAGTAATCAGCTCTACTGTGCAGTAAAGCATCTTGTGTAGACACTCCCATAAAGAACTTGCTTTAGACCTGAAAGCTTTTCTTTAGCCTCTACATCTGTGTCCCAGAGAAAGAAACTATTTTAGATCATGTTTAGAGGTTCTTCACATTTTAGCAGTATTCAGTTTCTCTCTCAGAGGTTTCAGCTATTGGACAGATCCTCAGCTAACGTAAGCTTCCATAGTTCCACTGGACTACCTGAAAACTAAAGTTCCAAACTTTGCCAAGGACAGAATTAAAAAAGCCTAATAGGACTATTTCTGTAAATTTCTTGAAAGTTTCTGAAACATTTTCTCAGTAGAGGAAGTGAAAGAGTGAAACAGACCAGTAGGTCACAATCCAGTACCCGCATTGAGGTAACTGTGTTACAAAAGCCAATATCCCCAATGGTCCTAACCAACATCCTGAGTACAAGACTCAAAAGAAGCACAGATCGACATGGAAAATGTTCAGCCTTCTTGCTTCCAGATTTGGGCACAGCATACCTGAAGTATGAGGGAGGTTTGCACTGGCACTGCCCAGGCTGTGCATAGCTTTAGTACCTGAATAATGTCAATCTCCAGGGCTGTTACTGTTGCATCTCTCTCCAGTACAAACTGTAGTTTACATAAAATGAATCTAATCAGTCAAACATTTCAAGGTCTTTGTCCTTACCTGTGTCCCCTTCCCCCAGAGCTCTCTCTTTTCTTCTGCTCACTGGGATTTGTGTCCTATGATGTTCAATGGTTTTTATTATTTTGGGTAAAAGCTGGGGGTCATTTATGTCTATTGAGTAACAACATTGCAAGAGAACAGGTTCAGTCTGAGTAGCATCAAACAAAAGCAGCACAATTCTCTTCAACATTGCTGGTGTTATAAGCATATCTTGAAGTTTTAAGAAATCATGGTCTTTATAGATTGGTATAAGAGTTACTGGGATAATCTTCATGGGTTTGCTTATGGCCTGTATGATCATTTCTCCTCCAGTGAAATTCCTGTAACCATGGTAGCAGAGAAAGCCATTCTTCTCCAGAACTGTCACAATCTTTTCATCAATGAAATTGTCTACATCAATTTGCTTCTTATTTTGTGGTGGAGCTGCTGAAGGGATGTAGAGGTCATAGCAGTAGAGTTTATGAAAAATGATGTCACCTAAAATGATACAAAGTTAATGGACAAAATGTTCCACTTCACTGGGGATGTTCTTTTCTAAAGGAACTATTTCCAGCAGGCACCCAATTCAAAAGAAACAGGTGTGGCAATGAATATCCCAAGATCAGGATAGAAACAGCACTGGTTCTGCTTAGTGGAGACATATCTGGCAAGAGCCAAAAGATTAAACAATACTTGAACAGGACTGAAATCTTGAATTCTTAATAAAAAGAAAATAAAAGTAGAATAGAAAGAAAATAAACACGTATCAAAAATAACATTATGGGTGAATTCCATTAATATGTTAATTTTCCCTATTATTGCTTTTCTCCTTCACGCTGTTCTGTTTCAATGCATTATAAAGCTATTTTCAGGTTTAGTAGGAATGACAGTTAAACTTTTGTAAAATTAAGCTTTTCCTTTGTTCCCAAACTTCAGTCATCTCTAGAGTGCAAGAGTTACAATCCAACTGGAGCAAAATGTGATGGAATGGAAAGAGGAAGCTTTGATATTTTGCTTTATGAAGTTGCTTAACCAGGCTGGTTTTAAACACCACTGCAGTTACTAGGGAGATTCCACTGACTTCACCAAGCTTTGAACTATACCCAAAATGTATGAAATGATGCATTCTCTAGCAAAGCTGTCTGCTGGCATCTGCTGAAATGGAACCCAGTGCTAAGTTCAAGGTCTGAGGGATCTCCAACTTTGCACACCCATGGATCTACATTAAGGGTAACATTTTCAAAAGCCAAGAGGCCCGTCTTCACTATGGCAGAACATAGCAAGGAGTACTACCATGAAAACATGCTGCACCTACTCACTCCTACTTTGTGGGCGTGTCCACACGTGGGCCCCACTGCACGGTTGGTACTGCGAACAAGTACTAAAGGATTGCGCAGTACCTGCTGATACTGCGCAGTCCTGGCAGCTCATGCATCATTTCCAACCCTACCGCGCAGTAGCAGCGAGCCCAGTAACTCATCATTACAGCACAGCAGAGGAGGCATCACAGTTAGTGCCTGCTGATGCTATATCACAGTAATGATGAACTATGGTGCTGTAGCTTGTTGCTATGGTGACGTAGCATCTTGTGTAGATGTTTTCTGTATGTGTTGCATGCTAAAAAGCATACCATACAACTAGCTGCTATTACAGCAAGGCTGGGAACATCCCTGGCACACCTTAAAAAATGTCCACAGGACAATTGGCACATGCAGAATGGGAGAAAGGAGGCAGAGCATTATTTATGGTAGTGTTCCTTGAGTACTGTCCAACACAGGATAGACAAACCCTACATTCCACTGAGCTTCAGCTCCTAAGGCATTTCAAAAATAAGTCCTTTGGAAAACTTTGCTGTCAGACTTTGAGACTCAAATTTCTCATTCTCTGCTCTGAAGTTCTGTACTGATTTCCTCCTATCTGGAGAGGTACCCCTACCAGAACCAAACCCTGGCCCCCATCTCCATTTGAGCTGTACAGTGTCCACTGGACTGAGAAGGGTGGGGAAAAAAGCAACAAGTCCTAAAGATTATGTCAGGAGTGTGACCTCTTGTTGGCCACATTTTAGCAGCACCATGGTATGAGTAGGCTGGAAGAGACCTTACCATATTTCCTTTCTCCACACTCAGTACAGGCCTCCAGCTCATTGAGGTCGTCCATCCTTCCCAAGCTGTCTTCAGGGTTTCAGCGCGTGTGTATGTGACTACAGCAAAAACTTGCCTCCCATCTACCACATTTACTCTTACACTGCTCTTCAGTAACATTCAGCAGTGGATTCACATTAGAATGAACCTGGGGTTTAGGGGTCAGTGGCCCAAGCTAGAGATGGGTTCAAAGAAAAAAAAAGAAAACAAGTCAAAGGAAGGGGTGATACAGGAAATTCAGGCCTAAGTGTGGACTTTGACTATGTAGACTTCAGACTCAACTGGAAGAAATCTCATTTATCTTGATGGTCACATGAGATTCCTATCAACTATTATTTTTCCCTTGGTTCCATTTCATGAGGCTGGGGTGGGGGGAAAACAGGGGGATGGGGTGGGAGGGGCAGGGTAGAGAAAATCCTGGGACACCAGCTCAGGTGACTGGGTTTTGCTGAAGCCAGGTTGCTGGAGAACTAGACTCAGGATCCTGGAAGCAATGGAAATGCACAAACTCTCCATGTGAACTGTGCTTGTCTCCTGCAGACTCCCCTGGAGCCACTCTGCTCTGGGGCTATGAAGGGGCTCAGTCTGTGAGAATGGGAGAAAATCGCCACCAGAGTGATTCTGGAAACACTTTGCTAGCACATTCCCAGATGTTTTCCCTGCCATGCTCTGCAGGAGTTTCTTTGTACAGGAAAGGATATTGAGTCATTATTCTTATTTACATTGAAAATGCACATTTCTTTCATTTATTAGGTAGCAAAGTGTCTCACAACAGTATCTGACAGGTTATGGCAAGGCATGTCTGCTCTGACCTCAGGTACTTCACTGCCCTGGTTTCCCTTTTTCTCCTGGCTAGTCAAGCTTTACACTGAAGGTGTTTTCACCATAACCCTCCCCTTCTGGGAGCCTCAGCATAACATAAACCTCCCTGGTGCATGGACCTCAACATTGTCCTGGTATATGCTTCCCTCCCACCAAGCTCATTTTCTCCAGCCTACCCCGATTTTCCCCACGCACTGCAGCCTCTGGCTCTCCAAACCCTCTACATGAGAAATAAGGCAAATCTCCACCCCAAATTCACCATACAGCACAAGCATCTTGGGTCTTTGAGTCTCTCATCTGAACTCTGGATGCCTTTATATCACATACCAGGTCTAGTTACATGCTCCCACCTCTGGCTTCTTTACTACTCATTCCATCCAGGAAGAGCACGCAACAACTGCAGATGCTTCCTCAGCCTGACGAAGGGTATTTATATCCAAAAGCTTGCAAAAAAAGAATTTTTCCAACTGTTTGAATTGGTCTAATAAAAGATATCAGATTTACCCAAAGAAGCTTGTCTGCCTATGTTCTTGACCAACACTGCTACAACCTATACCCCTATATGCTCCCACCATGTAGCCCTAGACTGAAAAGAAGGCTGAATTTAAGTAAAGAAATAATATTGAGGATACAAAATTCAGGGGAGAGTTTTGGATGCTCCACAGACATCCAGTGTGGGAAAGAAGCCTATACCACTTCAAGTTCTGGCTAATGGAACTGCACCACTTCCAGCTACTGCTGGTCAATTGGGAACTAATTAGCTCTAGTGCAGCACTGCATGAAAGCAGATATCATTTTTAGCAAGTGCGCTCAACAGTGGGCCTGGATGTACTTCTGGTCCACTTCTGCCGAGCACATGGGGGGGAGGGGGCCCCTGCACTCCTGTGGGATGCTCCATGCACCCCAGCATTGCAGCATTCACACGCCATGCCTGGTACCTTGAGGTATATAGAAAAAAAATAAATCTAAAGCTGTGTCTATGGCTGAATCGCTGATTCTCTGAATCAGCATTGAATCTTCAGATTCCAATTCAGATGAATCGGGACAGTGATCTGAATCAACGAATCGAATCACTGACCCCCATTCAGGCCAAATCCAAATCGAATACAGCCCATTTCGTACACTCCTAATATGTATGTGTGTACATATCATACATACATACAGACACACACACATATTTATATAAAATCAGCTGTGGGAGATATTAGACCCATAAAAAATTACAAAGAATATATGAGAGTATACATTAAATAATGACATCAGCTATCCTGAGTTATCTTCCTGTCGGAGAGCATAAAAATATCCATGAGTGCTCGTTATTATGTCAAATACTACAACTGTTCTGCCTTTGTCAACTTTGTTTCTTTGCTTCAAAATGTAGGTAATTGAAGCAGCAAATAGTACTAATAACTGTCTCTCAGCTTTCTATTTTTGAGCATCAGTAGCAGATAAAGTTATACAAAGAAAGAGGAGAGATTGCTAATCAATAGAACTGCTAAGTATTGAAAGGAGAAGTGATTACAGTGTGGCCTCCCATGCAGTAGGTCTAGACTGTCTGCTTGATCGTGCTCATATTTAGATGCCACTGGTTATTTTTCTGAGGCATACAAAAGCTAAAAACAAACAAAACAGCACAAAATAATTTGTCTAAATCCATGTCTAGTAACAAAGCCACTCCACCATTAGTCAGCTTAGGAAGTAAAGGTAGTTCTGTTTGCTTTCCTCTTGACAAATTGTAAAAGCAGCTACAAAATTAGAAGAAGCCTGGATTTCAAGGAAAGGAAGCAAAAGCCCAGTTCATTCTTCCGAGATCAGATGGGAGGGGGAAGGAGGAAAGATCTGGGGAAGTGTGGGCTGAATTCAACTCTATCGTAACTCTAGGAGGATTAAGGGAGCTTGATCAGAAGTGACCAGAGAATTTTCTTTAGGACTGCCCTCCAAGCCAGCGAAGACACATGAACACCCAAAAGCTGCAGAAATAGACACATGTACCAGTACTTACTCAGTAGGGAATATGAGCCTCACCTTGCCTCATCCAGACTTCTGATTCTTCTTGGGCTAACACAGACGTTGTAAGTAGACTTACTGAAATTTCCCTCTGTGTTTCACTGACCTTTATTTCCCCCTTCATTTCCTTCTTCCAAGTGCAATACTGAAGTCCTTTACTTAGCATTATATGATGATTGTATCACCGAAGGGTGGTGGCGATTGCTCGGGGGATTCATAATGAAACTTCCGTGTACACACTTTTATTGGGGGAAAGGTTTTGCTTTGATCCTGAGTTTATCCACATGTTTTCGGTTTCAGTCTATTCACTGATGACAAAGGGTAGGTCTATGAACCTTGTACTCCACTTACCAGAATCTGCTATTACTCTGCTGCTTCCTTAAAAGGTCAAGGAAATCATTGTGAGCCAGGTTCACTACTGGTAGAGCTACAATGACTTCAGTTGGAGTTATAAGAATGAACGGATTTGACCTGTTAAGTATCAGTATCATTGACTTCCTTATATAGCTGTTTCCTATTTATGACTTGGAAATCTAGTAATCAAATCAGTGCTAGGCCTGAAATGTTGAATTTTGATCCTGACCTAGACTTTAAACATCCCAAATTATGGAGTATCGTGGTGCATGATTTTGGGTTTTCTTTCTTTAGAGACCCCAACTTGAACCTGGGTTCAAATTTATAAACACACGAAATCCAGAGCTTAGAAACAGGCAGTCTGCTCAAACTCAGCTCTGTAAGAATGCATAGTAAGTCTCTGAACTGTACTTCTTCTGTAATCTTTCTTCCATAAACTGGAGGAATTCAGTCATTAGCTGTCATTATAATCACATGGATTAAAAATTCACTTACTCAGTGATACAGGAGTTTGTGTACACTTTCTTCTAGTTTAGGATCTATTCACTGACTGTGGACAATGCTGGGTACTTTGAAAGGTGTTAAATTCCAACAACACATATATGCTAATGCAGTGATACTTAACCAGGGTGTCATGAAAACCTTTTATAGGTGTCACGTGGTATTGTGCAATACAGGCAGTAAGTGTGCCAACACCTACACAATTCACAAGATAAACACAGAGATTTAAAATAGAAATCCAAAATGTCAAAAGCATTCTGACCTGCTGTGGTCTGAGTCCTTTGCAACAGAAGACTTGCCCTATTATTTTTCCATAGTCAAGAAACAGGTGAAAGCTAAGAGCTGGCACTTTCCAAGGGGTACCTTGAATCTAAAGCAGGTGAGAACCACTGCAAAAATGGGATGTACTAGGCTATGGGAATGAGACTGTTTCTTGACCCCAGATGATGATCATCTCCTGTCCTGACGCTTGAAGATCAACAGGCCATAGAACTGGGGATGGACTTCAGCCTCAGAATGTGTTACTGTCTGGATTTACAATCAGTTCCCCAAAGCTTAGGCAAGTTTTTCTCTGGAGATTTTATTCAGTCTCCTTTCCCACTTGCGTCTATTCTTACTATTCTGACTCTTTTACCTCCATTATATCCTTTTGCACCAATTTCTCCAAGTTAATTAAACATTGCATTAAAAAGAAGAAAAAAGGATTTTGGCCTATTCAAAACATACCAAGCTAAATTCTGCTCTTATGGCATGAAGAGACATCATGGTTGTTACAAGTCAGATTGCCCAGCATTTCACCCAGATCAAAAAAGTCACAGCCCTGTTGTGTACAGCCATCACCCTTCCCAACATCACTATTGCATTGCTGCTTTTCTGCCAGTAGGCAAGCCAGTGAAAATACACTTCCCAACATACTTTGCTGTTGTCTAATGTCTGAAGGTTCCTGGGGATTCCCCAGAATGGTGAAAAGCAACCATTGGATAGTCAAGTAGGAGTGATCAGAAGCAAGATTCCCTCTAAGGTGCGCGCATGTGTGGCCACACACGAGTAAAAGTTTGGCCGCGCACAAACTTTTTCAGGCCGCACATCTATCGGGAATGGAGCTGGGCTGCAGCGTGGGACACTTAGTAAAGGTAAGCTCCTCCTCCAAGCAGAAGTGGGGGCTGGCATGGGCTCCACCAGCTCAGGGGAACTGCTCCGCTCTCCCCGCATTGCCTAGGGGAGTGAGGACGCACATGGAGTCAGGGCCAGGGAGTGTAGCACTTCCCAGGGCCGGCGGAACCTGCAGAGCAATTCCCCAGAGCCGGAGGAGCCTCACTCAGGGCAGGCAGTGGCTCCTCCCTGAGGTGAGGCAAAGCAGGGATGGAGGCTGGGGCAGGGTAGCGCAAGCTCCGCTGGCCCTGGGGAACTGCTCGGCGAGCTCCACTCCCCGGCCCTGATACCACGTGCCTCCTCACTCTCTGAGGTGATGCTGGGGAGTGGAGCAGCTTCCTGGAGCCTGCACCAGGCTCTAGCCCTCCAGCCCCCACCCCCCCGCCAGACTCCAGCCCCTGCCCACCAGGCTCCAGCCCCTCAGCCTCCAGCCCCCAAGGCCCTGCTGCCCGCTCCACGTAAAGAGTAAGGGGCTTACCTTTGGTAAGTGTCCCACGCCACACCAAAAGGGGGAGGTGAGACCGAAGTGGCGCACTCACAGACCAAAGTGGCGTGCTCATGGACCACCACTCCTTAGAGGGAACATTGATAAGGAGTAAGTGCCCATCAGTTCTACTATTATCATTACTTGCTGTTGCAACCACTGCTGCTACCACTGAGTCTGCAGAATGGACCCACACATGATCCTGGCCCTGCAAGGTGGCTTGGTGGCCTGCAGGCCACGGTCACCCAGCCCCGAGAGCTTGCGGTTCCAACTATGCAGCAAAAGAAGGAGCAGCAGTTTTGGTTGTCTGCTAAATGACCGAGGATGGCCTTGTTGGACTGCACAGGAGGTGTGACCTTGGCTGTGTCCAGCTCTCCCTCTGTGCCAACACCAACCCCCAGAACTGGTGCTGGCTGTAGTGCAATATAATGTGTCTGGACCACTGTGGGAGGGTCTTCAGACCATAGAGTGGCATTTTTGATCAGTGGCTAAAGATCATTGAATAAAGGTTTCCCAATAACTCCAGATTCATCTGGATGCTGTTGGGTCCATGGACCCCTGTCAGTCTGGCTTTTATTCTAGATATAGTATAGAGACTGGTTTTATAGCCTTGGCCAGCAGTCTTCAGATGGAGATTTAGAGGGGAAATAACACCCTATGGATCTTACTAGATCTTTCAGTGGCCTTTAATACAGTTGACCACAAGAGGCACGTCCACACATGCAAGCATGTGCGCTTGCAACAGCTCAAATAGAAGTGGTGCAAATTTGAGCTGGGGCTTTTTTGCTTCAGTGCACATGCTCAGACATGCACTTTGTTGTGGGGCAAATTGTGCCACTTGGGGCAAAATAACCCTGCCTGGCTCCTCCCAGATCTTCAGCCAGGGGGAGCTAGAGCCCAAGGCCAGCACGTGTACTGTCCCCAGCAGTATAAAAAGCTACCCTGGCAAGTAGCTCAAGGCTACTAGCTCTCAGAAGCTTCTGGGGCCCAGCCAATTGGCACGTGGGGACACTACCGCTTGTGCCAGCTGGACTGCTGAAGCAGCCCTGAGATTTCCCTGCACCCTCTACCCACTACAGCAGTCTGACAGTGCGGGCTGCTGCCTGGCTGTGACCTGCTGCACACCTGCCAGACCTGGATGGGGACTGCACAGCCAGTAGAAACATGGCCATAAGAAACATCTGCAGTCACAGCCCACTGGCAGCTGGCCCAGAGGGGCAGAGGTGGCCTCTGTGCAGCACTACTGCCATGTGTACCGCTGCCCGGCCATCTGGGCAGCTATCATCCGGAAGATGTTCCAGGTGTGGTGGCCTGCTTTGAACTGTCAAAGCATGTCCTCCTGACCCCATTTGTCCAGGAGGTCAGCCACAGCCATATGGGTCTAAGGTGCCAGCTCTGAGCAGGCAGGGTTCTGCCACTGGCCTCCCTAGCAAGAATTCTGGTGTTCCCTATTGGAAAACTGAAAAATCCCTGATAAAAAAAATCCCAAAGTCAATCTGTAAAATGCCCCCAAATCCATGTTCCTCCACAAGTAAAACAAAAGAACACTATAAAGACAGAGAGCAAGAAAGAGAGAGAGTGATCAGTTGGACAATGTTTTATTGATATATCTTACAGTGTTAAAGCAAGTCTCTTATCTTAATAAGGAAAGTGAACTCTAAACACATTCCATGAATTCACGAATGCGTGTTTTGCTGCACTCCCACAGGGTGATGGCCCCCACACAAGGGGTTGGTTTGGCCCTCTCACAAGGGGTACGGCCCCCCCCAACAGGGGGTTCAAACCCCACACAAGGGGTACAGGCTCCCAACAGGGGCCAAATGGCCCCCACAGGGGCCACCACCCCCCTTGCAAGGCCCACATACCCCACCCCCCCAATTGCTGCCCCACCTGGCCCCATCCCCCCACCAGTTGCTGCAGCCCCCTGTAACAGGGGGCCTATTTAACCATGGCCCACCCACCTGTTTCTGGGCTAACCGCCTGCCTTCTCACCACAGCCCAAGCCTTGCTGATGGCATCTAGGTGTCATCATAATCACCAGCTGCCACTCTGGGCCCCAGAATCCTCCTAATTGAACCCCACCTGGATTCCTCTACTCAGGCAGTCTCACCCACCTTCATACTAGGCAGCATAGCTCCCTGAACTGCTTCCCCTTCTGGGTGCAGTGTCCCCGCCCAGGACCTTTGGCTCACTAGCCCTGGCCCACCTCCAGGCCAGCCAGAACTCCAGGCACGCAGCTCTTTGGCATTCCTTGTGGTGGGCCCCCGGCCCTTTGACCCTTCTGATCCTGGCCCCAGCATTGACCAGTCAGGGGAAGTTCAGACAGGCCTCAGTCTATGGCCTCTCTCTCTCTCCAGGCATCCACCCTCCAAACAAGGAGTAACCCACCCAGTTGTGGGGGCTACAGGTTAAGGTGTCCCAACCCACCTTTCACCAGGGTGGTAACTGGCCTGGTATTTCCTAGGGGCTCCCACACCACTGAGAGCCCCACCAGGCCACCCACTCCTGGCAGGGTGCAGTTTTAGGTCATACCCAGGACCAGGAGCCTCCTTACCATCCTCCACAGCTCCTCCCTTACCTCCAGATGACACCAGCAGCCCTCCAACCAGGCAGTGTTGTTACCTAACCCCCAGGCAGCAGAACTGCTCTGTTTATATGGGCAGCCCCTGATTCAAAATGGCTGCCCTCATCGGGCACCTGCCAGCTGCCAGCTTCAGGCCCTTAAAGTGGCAGGCACAAACAAGGTCCCGCCCCCCCCCCCTCAAAGTGCCGGCCCCCAGCGGCCCCCTGCCGGCTGCCAGCTTCAGGCCCTTAAAGTGGCAGGCACAAACAGTGTCCTGCCACACCCCTCCCAATGGCTGCCCCACCCCCTCACTCTCCCGGAACCCCCAATGACTGCCCCACCCATCCTCACCCCTGCAACTTGCACCCCCAGGCCTCCATGGCTACCCCCACAACCCCAGGCACCATCACTTAAAAAAAAACCAGAAAAAAAAAAAG